ATTTTGATACGTTAGATAACACATGAATGAAAAAAGACGCACAAATTCAAAATTCAAGTTGAGTCGATTTAACATTTCACTGTAATATCAATCAGGAAATATCCGAAAGGAACTCAAGTAAAAGCAGTTAATGTTCTGTAATGCCGAAATTCTGGTACCAACTTGAGGACTACATATGTATAGAATGGGATATGATTTAATTATCATTTTCAATTTTAAAACAATATTTTTAGATAATCCCTTGTATTATTGATATTATTACGAAAGATAACATTATATTTCATTTTTGTATTATAACATTCTTTCATACGACTTATTTTATATACGAGTAAGTGTTCGTTAATATTTGTTTAAAGATTTTGTCTACACTGACAATTTTCATGAACAAAATTGTTCTTTACGGATTTTATATACCGTTTTGTGAATTTTTGTATAGGTACATTACAAACTATTAATCAATTTGTCAATGAAAGGATTTCGAACGGTATTTATTAGTTTGTAGTAATTGTCCAGTTACACACAGATGACGTTTGTTTTAAAACTCCAAAATGACAAGGATATACTGAACGAGTCGAAAAATAACATTTCTTTGTGGGAGCAAATTTCACCTGGCCGTAAGAAAAGAGAATTGACTACCTGGAGTTGTATTTTTTTCCAATCTAGTCATCAATCTTATTTTATTTATTGACATTTAGAATTTGACAACTTTAGCATTCTGTGTTTGATTTATTTGATTTAATTTTATGGTGAATTCTTTACTTAAAAAACCCGAAGACTTTATGCAAAAAAAAACAAACTAACGACGACCCCTGAAATACAGGCATCTGACATGAGACAGTTTGACTTATTGGCTATTAACTGTGATTCACAACAGTACTAATATATGAATAAATGATAAATAAGGATATTGCGTAATTGTACTCGAAACAATATTGCAAACGAGTGTTGATCGTTGTAGTTTATTTCTAATCTGACTTTTTTTAAATTTTGGTTTTAATCACGATCCTTACATTTTGCAATAATCATTTGATGTAACATTTGTATCGTGTGGCAGAAAATGTATGTATAATAGGCCGAAAGGAGCCTCTTGTCGACACACCTGGTCTCTATCGTTTTGAGATTCTGTTTATTTTCACTCCCGTGTCTGTCTTATGCATGACCATTAAAATAAAAAAAAATCGATATACTACCTTTATGTTCAAACTTGTGGTCTCTATTCTACCAACATCGGTATACTTACTTTATGTTCACACTTGTTGTTTATATTCAACAAATATTGGTATATTACCTGTATGTTTACACTTGTGGTCTCTTTTCTACCAACATATATATATACTACATTATATACCATATCCAACAAACATCGGTATACTATCGAATGACTACAATTGTATATATCCTACCATCATCGGAGTCCTTACTACCTTTATGTTCACACTTGTTGTCTATATTCTACCAACATCGGTATACTTACTTTATGTTCACACTTGTTGTTTATATTCAACAAACATAGGTATATTACCTGTATGTTCACACTTGTGGTCTCTATTCTACCAACATATATATACTACCTTATATACCATATCCAACAAACATCGGTATACTATCTTAATGATTACAATTGTATATATCCTACCATCATCGGAGTCCTTACTACCTTTATGTTCACACTTGTTGTCTATATTCTACCAACATCGGTATACTACCTTTATGTTCACACTTGTTGTTTATATTAAACAAACATAGGTATATTACCTGTATGTTCACACTTGTGGTCTCTAATCTATCAACATATATATACTACCTTATATACTATATCCAACAAACATCGGTATACTATCCTAATGATTACAATTGTATATATCCTACCATCATCGGAGTCCTTACTACCTTTATGTTCACAATTGATGTCTATATCCGACCAACATCGGTATAATATCTTAGAAACATCGGTATCTACCTGTATGTTCACACTTGTGGTCTCTATTCTACCAATATCGATATACTACCTCTATGTTCACATTTGTGGTTGTCTCTATTCTACCAACATCGGTAAATCAATTTATGCTCGCCTGTTGTTTATATTCAACAAACATCGGTAAACTACTAGTATGTTCACACTTGTGGTCTATATTCGACCAACATCGGTATACTACTAGTATGTTCACACTTGTGGTCTATATTCGACCAACATCGGTATACTACTAGTATGTTCACACTTGTGGTCTACTAGTATATTCGACCAACATCGGTACACTACCTGTATGTTCACACTTGTGGTCTATATTCGACCAACATCGGTATACTACTAGTATGTTCACACTTGTGGTCTACTAGTATATTCGACCAACATCGGTACACTACCTGTATGTTCACACTTGTGGTCTATATTCGACCAACATCGGTATACTACTAGTATGTTCACACTTGTGGTCTATATTCGACCAACATCGGTATACTACCTGTATGTTCACACTTGTGGTCTATATTCGACCAACATCGATATACTACTAGTATGTTCACACTTGTGGTCTATATTCGACCAACATCGGTATACTACCTGTATGTTCACACATGTGGTTTCTATTCTACCAACATATATATACCTTTATGTGAACACTTGTTGATTATATTCTACCAACATCGGTATACTTCCTTCAGGTTTCAATTGTTGTCTATATCCTACCAACAATGGTATACTACCTTTATGTTCACACGTGTGGTGTCTATTCTACCAACATTGTTATACTGTCTTAATGTTCACACATGTGGTCTATATTCTACCAACATTGGTATACTACCTTTATGTTCACACTTGTGGTTCTCTCTGTTCTACCAAAATCGGTAAACTACGATGATTTGATTGAAGCTGTTAATTTTCTCTTTGATAATATTGATGTACGTTTCGGCAATAAAGTTTATCGACAGGTTGTAGGTATTCCTATGGGCACCAATTGCGCCCCTTTAATAGCAGACTTGTTCTTGTATTGTTATGAATCACAGTTTATGACCAAACTCAGTAAAGACTCGTCTAAATTGCATTTAATTGACAAATTCAACAACACTTACCGTTATCTTGATCATATTTTTTCGTTAAATAATCAAGAATTTTCTAAATATACTGCCGAAATTTACCCAAAGGAACTTCCTTTAAATAAATCAAATATCAACGGTAATAACTGTCCTTTCCTAGATTTAGATATTTCAGTTTTACACGGGAAACTCTACACTAAAATTTACGACAAAAGGGACGATTTTTCGTTCCCTATTGTTAATTTTCCTTTTTTGGATGGTGATGTTCCTTTGTCACAATCTTACGGTGTTTATATATCACAACTCTTTCGCTTTGCCCGTGTCTGTTGTGACGTTTTGGATTTTAATGAACTTAATCTATGTATTACTGGTAAATAATCAAGTCAGGGATTTCGTTACTACAAATTACTTAAAACCTTTACTAAATTCTTCCATAGATATAAAGATTTGGTTTTGAAGTTTGGTTGTACCTGTAGAAAACTTATTTCAAACGGGATAGAACATCCTCATTTTTACGGAGATGTTGTTTTCCGAGCCCGGAATTTAGAAACGATCCCGGTAAACTTATAGATCCTTTAAATTAACTTATTCGAAAAGGTTACCAATTCAACACATTTATTAGATCTTTGAATATTGTTTTTATTGGTAATAATATTGATTTAAATCAAACTAAATATTATTGTTATATACATATGCACATTCATGGCTCTACAATCTGTCGATACCTGTATTTGGCATTGCACAAGGTCATGTTTATCTCTGACTGTTTATGGCGTCTTTACACTAAATCCATCGGATGTTGGATGTGTACTGATTGATAATTTAGTCTTAGATGCATGATTTTTTTTTATTAGTTTTTATTGGCTTTGAACTAGCTGTCAGTAACTGCGAGTACTCTCAGATCTGTGCTAAGTGTCTTTTTGTTGTTGGGATGTACAAGTACCCGTTCACGTCCACTTTATGCTTTTGTCGAATGTATTTCTATTTGTATCCATCTGATGAGTTAAGCCTTTTTCAACTGATTTTTATAGTTTGTTCTTATGTTGTACTGTTACACCACTGCCCCAGGTTAGGGGTGGGTTGGCACCTTCAAACTAGTTTAGCCCCGCCACATTATATATGTACCTGTCCCAAGTCAGGAGCCTGTTATTGAGTGGGTTTTGTTTATTACACTTTGTCATATTTGTTTTTCGTTTATTGTTTTGCATAGTTTGTTCTTGTTTTGTGCTGTTGCACCACTGTCCAAGGTTAGTGGAGGGAATGGCGCCATCTAACTAGTTCAACCCCACCACATTCTGTATGTGCCTATCCCAAGTCAGGAACCTGTAATTCAGTGGTTGTCGTTTGTTGCTGTGTTTCATATTTGTTTTTCGTTCATTATTTTGTACATAAATTAGGCCATTAGTTTTTTTCGTTTGAATTGTTTTACATTTGTCATTTCGGGGCCTTTTATAGCTGACTATGCGGTATGGGCTTTGTTCATTGTTGAAGCCGTACGGTGACCTATAGCTGTTAATTTCTGTGTCATTTGGTCTATTGTGGAGAGTTGTCTCATTGGCAATCATACCAAATCTTATTTTTATACCCTTATGTTCACACTTGTTGTCTCTATTCTACCAACATCGGTATATACCGCTATGTTCACACTTGTGGTCTATATTCTACCCATACCTCATTTAAAATGTGATTTCCCTAGACTTAATTGGAAACTATAAGGAACAAGTACCGCCAAGTAGCAAACTAACTCTTTACCAAACAAGGATTCTTTTTTATTATCTCTTTTTCATCATTCATTTGACGTCTGATAAGAATAATAACTGTTCGTCAGCCATATTATTTGATATGCATACTTTCTCCGGTTTACTGTTTTAATTTGACCATTTTTGGCAGGTATTAGAATTTACAAAATTAATTTTTGCATACTTACAATACGAATGTTAATAATTCTTACCAATGAAAGTACTCACCTATTAAAGGCACATCAGATGATGACGGTGGCAAACTGTCGGCTACAATCATCAGAAATACAGTCATTGACAACAAAGTAGTTATTCCCATAGAAACTTTTTCGCCAGATTCGCTTGGCATATAAAATCCCAACAAGGCAACAAGGGTTATCAATATACAAGGCATGACAAGGTTAAACATATAAAACAATGGTCGTCTCTTAATCACAAAGTAATAATTTATAAACACATAGGGTTCAGGACAACAGGAAAATGTGATAACTTGCCGCTGAAAGTCGAAAACAGTTAGTTCCCATTCTGAACTGCTGACATAATTTGTTAAATCTCCCTTTTCTGCATCATTTTGAATATTAATTTGAAACGCATCAAATGCCCAAGATGCAAAATCCATAGAACAATTCTGAATATCAAATGGGAAATATTTAACGTCAATTGAACACGAGCTTTTGAATATCCACATAGACAACCATGTGATATTTCCGTCAAAAGTCACGATCACATTTGTGCTGACGGTGGATAATGACGATGTAACATCTGCACTGAAAAGAAAAATATAAAATAATGTATATATTAATATATATACTTATTGCTCAATTAAAACATCGTATATCGAAATGAAAAAAAAATAAAATTTTTTTTTTTTTTTATATTGTTTGCATGAAATACAGGTAAAACAACGTTTACATACATATATTCTTGTCCAGTTTTAGGTAACCCTTAAGGTCACGTAACAGTGAATGGGCCGTATCTACGTCATTTGGTATTTGATGGTTAATTGTCTCATTGGCAATCATAACACATCTTATCTTTATATTGTCTCAAATTTTGGTACTGTAACTGAAATTCGAAAAAAATAAGTTATATAACAGATAAACTTGCTAACATTTTATTAAATAAAAATCCTTGAAATAGTCCAACAATTGTATAAAATGTACGAAAATTCTATTAAAAACTATCTTTTAACACTCCTTTCTCTACACCAAGTACATAAGATTGTAAATTTTCATTTCAATGATGTAAAATAATCATAGAATTTAGTGCATACATAAGTGAGAATCGTATTTATTGTGAAAAAATAACACAAACCGTCGAAGTTAGCGTAGTGTTATCATACTGTAAAGCCATTAAACGTCTGTATACGACTTTTTTCACTGTCAACACAGTACAGATTGGTCAATACATAAACAAACGGAGTCATTTACCATGTGATTATTTCATATAAATCAAACAGAAATTTTCTTGGCCAAAAACATACCCATTTTTTGGAAAAATATATGTATTGGTTTTGGGGATTGTATAATTTTGTTCCATACAACTATTTTTGAAAGAATTCATGCAATAAACTTTTGAAAATAAATGAGATTAAATGCATCTTTTACAATTTTTAGTTCAAGTTTAACATTCAACTCTTGAAGGCAACATCTTCTAAAAATCCATGAAATGCCTTGACCTCAATATTCTAAAAGCATTTTCAAAGCCTTTCTATAACTTATTACCTGTTAATTCAAAAAGGAGGAATTCCGATACATCTGATAAAATCAAAAGTTAGATTATATCAACCAATGGGACGAATGGAAAACAAATGTCATATTGGTACAGACATTTTCTGAAGAAAATGGTGGATTAAACTTGGTTTTGTAGCTAGTTTAACCATCCACTTGTATGGCAGTTGTCTACAGATCCGTTATACTGGTATTAACAATATGATCTGTGTTCCTGATTGTCTGTCTACCTTCCGGTTGTCATTACCATACGATTGCTTTTGTAATCGTGTACAGTAGATTATGATATGTGTTTCCTATTGTATCTGACGTATCGATAGCCGCTAATAGGGTGTGTGTTTATCAACTGCCAGTAAAAGTCCAAATGTGATTTTGTATTTTCATCCCTTGGGTGCATTTACTGATGGTGGATTTTTTACTTACTAATTTAGTCTTTATCAGATAGTTTTACTTCTTTAGTTACCCAGGATCGATCGTGGTCGATATTAGCCAGCCAAATTTTCAACATTTTTAACAAATTCAATGTTGTTGCTAACTTTCCCCATCAGATATGCGCTGTTAATGATGTACATTGCTACATTTCGTTATGGCATAATGTATCTTTAACTTTTCTTAAATGAGTATCTTTGCACAAACATGAAACTAATTAATCTTACGGTTACTTACTTATTATACAAAAGAATATCTGGTCTCCAAACTTCAGTGAATGGTAGTCGTATTACACTAGTATTACCGTACTTTCTAGGATCCCATCGTAACATATAATCCTTCCATCCCTGAACATAAACAATTATGTATATTTATAGAAATTACGAGAGGTGGTGGATTGCTTAATATAAACGAATATTTCTTAAAAAAGATACACATACGGTCACAGTCATTCATATTGTTTTACCTAAAAAGTCAGTTTTTGGACGGGTTGTACGTGAAAATAACAGGTTTACCTCAGTGTCAAGCATTATTCTTTAATGAAAACTGATTATTATTACGGGTGTGAATATTCCTGAGGTCGTATGATACAGAAGAGGTCTTTTGTTGAATTTTCCTTGAAATTTAGATACAATGTCACTGTTGAAACTCACTGTCGAAGTATGGGAAACAATATACCTTCATGATTCTACTTTGCGAATTAATTCAAAATTGTTTTTTCATGTCTCAGATAAAATCACAAATTCTGATAAATCATTTTTTTTTCGAAAAAAATAACTCAATTTTCAAACGGATAGAAATAATTTCAAACGAGTTTTTTTTTTTTTTTTTTTTTGGGGGGGGGGGGGGGGGGGGTGTCCCTTATATATAGAGGCTTTTAGTTAATTCCCAACATATGTAGCAAACTTTTTTGTGAAATGATACAGTTTTTGGAAATAGAAAGCTAATGACAATTTCATTGTCACTAGAAATGCTTACGAAAAAAATATAGCGTTTGTTTTTACTTAAATTTTGATATAAAATTCTTGATACAGCTAACAGTTAAATGCAAAAGAAGCAAAAAATGCATAGGGGTCTTTGTGTTTATTTGTTTTGAAACATACAGGAATTCTCGTGCAGTTATTCACGCGTTTTGTATGCAAATCATTTGCAATGTTGCGACAACAACATATTGAATGCAGATTCGTTATCATCTACCATTGCTAGTGTATAGAATACCATAACCGAGCGCCGATCGTTTTGCCAAAACATCTCTCACCTGGTTAAGCCAACAGTTCGTTGTAATGATCTGATTTTTTTCGTCCTATGAAAAGAAATAAATCACAATATATTCTAAATATATAAACTATCGTTATTACATTCTAATCGATCTATTTTTTCTGTCACTTTCTAAAGTGCAGACTACTATTCTTTCTACAGTAAAAGATGATATTCAAAAATATTGTGATGGGGTATATTCAACCAGTGGTGTCAATCAGATGTGGATTCTTAAAAATTATAAAGATGTACTGCTTAATCTTAGATCACAATATCTGCAATTTTGCATCAACATTAAAACTTTTAATTTTTCTACGCTTTACACTACTATTCCCCATGATCAATTGAAAGATCGACAATATATTTGTTGAGTTTTGAGTATTGATCTTTCAACAGACAGTCGGTTTTTCAATGGGTACTAATTGTGCACCCCTACTGGCCGATTTGTTTTTGTACTCGTATGAAGCAGAATTCATTCAGAACCTTCTAAAACACAAAAAGAAAAAGCACCTTGCGAAATTCTTTAATTTTACTTTCAAATATATTGATGGTGTCCTATCTCTGAATAACCCATATTTCAGTCAGTACTTACATCTCATATATCCCAGTTAACTTGAAATTAAGGATACTACTGATACTAGAATGACTGCTTCATTCATTCATTGATATTTTCCTCAATATTGACACAGATGGACGACTTCACACTAAAATTATGACAAACGGACGATTTCAACTTCCCAATTATCAATTTCCCATTTCTCAGCAGTAACATACCCTCTGCCCCATCGTATGGTTTTTACATATCTCAGTTGATGCGTTATGCTCGTGCATGTTCACACTATACGGACTTCATATACAGGAGTGTGCTCCTTACGCAGAAACTGCTCGATCAGAGCTATGAGGAGGAAAGATTAAAAATGACACTCGGTAAATTTTATGGACACCATCACGAATTGGTTGATTTACAATGTGTCTGTGTCTAAACTAACTAACGACATTTTTACCACGTCTTAAAGAGTGGTTTACCATCTACGTCGTCTGGTCTGCTAAGTACAGAACGTGACCTACTCCTGAATATGACTGTTTTGCCGTGTGTGAATTCGCATTTCTATTAGACGTGTCTCGGTATTTATACATCAACCATTCATGTTAAATTGAGAATGGAAATGGGGAATGGGTCAAAGAGACAACAACCCGACCAAAGAGCAGAAAACAGCCGAAGGCCACCAATGGGTCTTCAACACAGCGAGAAAAACACGCACCCGGAGGCGGGCTTCAGCTGGCCCCTAAACAAAAAAGTGTACTAGTTCAATGAAAATGGACGACACACTAAACTCCAAAACAAATACATGAACTAAAATTAAAAAAACATACAAGACAAACAAAGGCCAAAGGCTCCTGACTAGGGATAGGCGCAAAAATGCGGCGGGTTAAACATGTTTTGTGAGATCTCAACCTTCCCCCTATACCTCTAGCCAATGTAGAATAATCAAACACACAGCAATACGCACAGTAAAAATAAGTTTAAAAGAAGTCCGACTCCAATGTCAGAATAGGTAACAAAAGAAACTAAGCAAAATGACAATGATACATAAATTAACAAAGGACTACTAGCAGTTACTGACATGCCAGCTCCAGACCTCAATTAAACTGATTGAAAGATTATGTCTTCATCATACGAACATCAAGCACAATCCCTCCCGTTAGGGGTTTAGTATCATACCATCATAACATATATGAGAAGAACACAACCCGTATCATGCCTAAAACTGGTTTTGGAATAAATGTTTTTATTTCCGATGCAAAGACCCTATGATTGAATCAATATTAATACCAAAATATGCCATCTTTAATGACCTGACCACAGTATCGTAACTATATCCCTTCTGAATAAGTCGGTTTAATGGTTTGGTTAGCTTCTGAGGTGACTGTCGACATTTTCGTGCTTTATATAGAATATTACCATAAAAGATTGGATGTGAAATACCTGAACGTATAAGATGTCTGCATGTTGATTTATATTTACGAATGATGTCTTTGTACCGATGATAAAATCGAACAAGTTGAGATATATAAACACCATAAGATGCTGACAAGGGAACGTCACCATCTAAAAATGGATAATTAACAACAGGCTTTTATCATAAATTTTGGTATTAAGCGTCCCGTTAAAGATATAGATATCAAGATACAGGAAAGGGCAGTGTTCATTGTTAGTATTAGCTTTATTTAAAGTCAGTTCAGCAGGATAAATCTCTTTAGTGTACATACTGAAGTCGTCATTACTGAGAGCCAATATATCATCCAAATATCTAAAAGTGTTATTAAATTTTTGTTTCGATGGGTCTTTGCTGATTTTAGTCATAAATTGTAACTCATAACAATACAGAAACAGGTCCGCAATAAGTCCGCAATGAATAATGTATTTAGTCATGATGTTTCGTTTGCAAGTCTGGTTCGAAATTGTGTTATGTCTTATCGTTTGTGGTTTGTATTCTATTTTTATTTTCTATATGTATGTAAAAGTCATTTGATTTTTAGTTTAAAGCAAATAGATGCACAGGATTTATTTGTTTTTACACATAGTTTTGATTTAAAAGAAAAACCAACATGGTTAGAAAATACAAATAATTACACCATTACTAACACAAATCTATATTAATATTCTTTTAATGGTTAGAAAATACATAAAATAACACCATTACAAACTTAATCCCAATTGTATATTCTATTTTTAGAAATTAACCTGTGACGTCACTTTTTGTGGCGTTGATACATTCGTGTGACGCACAGTTCATAATTCTATTGTGGTGTAATTGTGTACTGTCGTAAATTAATTGGAGGTGTCTGTTGTTATTATGTGGTTTACATGTTGTAATTTATTATTATATTATTTATTTATTTATTTCTCTGTCCTGAGTGTTCTTGTGTTTATTTGTACTGCATTCCTGTCACGTAATGTTGTCATTTTAGCGGTATTTTTTAACATTGTCATATAAGCGGGAGGTTTGGCTAGCCATAAAACAAGGTTCAACCCACCAGTTTTTCTTAAAATGTCCTGTACCAAGTCAGGAATATGGAACTTGTTATCAAATAGTCCGTTTATATGTATGTTGGCGTTTGTTTTTGTAGCAGTTCAGTGTTTCTGTTGTTCCGTTGTTTTCCTCTTATAGTTGAAGTGTTTCCCTCGGTTTTGGTTTGTGACCCGGATTTGTTTCAGTTAAATCGAATTATGACTATCAAACAGCGGTATACTACTGTTGCCTTTATTTATCTATCTCACAGAAACAAGCAGATACTTTCCTTCAACATGATTAAGGATGTTCGCTACTCTTGTTTTTTAATTTTTGCCAGATATTCGGAAACCTCTGGTTTTATCCATGTAGTGTCATTAAAAAAATTTGACCGCTTACCCCTACTTTTCTTTTCATATTTTCATTACATATAGTTTTGAAAGCCATATTTGAAAATCTTATAAAATCCTTGTTATTTTTTCATAGTTTTTGAAATAAAAAAAGTGCTAATGTTAAATGTATGAAAAATCAAGAGAGAATTATTTCCCGCCAAATATTCAATGGCTTATATCTTGAAACCAAGCACACGGACCCTTCATTTTTTTTCTGTTTTTCTAGTTCCTTTATTCATATACTTTTAATTTATAACAGTCTTTTAAAAATCTTGTTATTTTGAAACAGAGTAGCGAACATCCTTAAGAAAGCTCAAGTGCTCAAATATCACCAAGCCCAGAAGTCAGCACTTTTGTGTTGACATGAATTATCATTGATATGGTCATATTTATAAATTAACTGTTTACAGCTTTTTGAAATACTAAGGATTTTCTACCCCAGGAATAAATTGCTGTGTGGTCCGAAAGTCATTTTTGGAATATTTGATATCTCTTTCTGGCGTCCATTGTTTTCTAACCTTTCATATATTACCTTGTATTAAGTGCATATATACCCTTTAGCAAAAAAGTAAATTCGTTAATTAAACAGAAAAAGGAAAAACACAACTAAAAAATACACGTAAACAAGTATATAATTAAAATATTAAATAAATGAATAATAGATTAACAAATAAAAACAAATTGTGCAATCGCATATCTCTGTTAGAAAAGGAAACTCAAATAGAAAACATTACTTATATACGAATGAGCGTTTGTTGCCGATGTTAAAAGTATCGATACTAAAACACTTACATTAAGTTATATTGCTACAACATTACCATAGTGATAATATGCACTAAAAAGTCATCGGACGTATTCGATTTTTAGAATGATTTTCTAATTTTGTAACAAAGAACCACAGAAACAAACAGCCTAAGTAACAATCAGCCCTATCTTGAAATGATAATTCTCTTACCACATCTATAATTTGCGCCAGTGAAACATCAAATGTTACATTTAATGGCCATGAGTGATTTTCTGACGGCCGTATTCTCTTATCGTAACTAGTCATCAAATCACGAACCAAACGATATTCATTTTCATCTGTTAAAACGTAACCTAAAACTGAAAAAAAAAGAATATTTATCTAATATTTCATTATTTTGTTTTCATGTTTTTGTATTCTGGACATGAACAATCACAATAGAAAGGAATTAGGTATGCTCTAGAGATTTCATTTAAACAAATATGTATATATGGAAAGATTAAGACTAATTTGCAAAAGGGATGAAATAAATATCTGATCTCCGAATACTTTGAAAAAATGTATTTTTGGAAGGATGATACGCTTTTGAAAATTGCAATGATAACTTACATTGTGAATATATCTGAAAGTGTATCTTATAAAAATAACGTCCGCTGATCGTGACGGAGGACGCTCTCGAGGACTAAGTGTCAACTACTATATATTATAGCTACCGCTAATCTAGACAGAAGACACTGTTGTCGGGGACTAAGACCCCATAGCAATAGTATCAACATATATAATCATGCGTTTTCTGATTACAAGTAATCGTTTACAATAAAAAAAAAAACAACAGGTATTATCATGATTACGTTTAGATTACAGTCATAAGATTACTTGGTGATTACTGTATAGGATCTGTTTTTTTTTGTACACAAGCACAACAGTTTTCAGTATGATTGATCGTGGTTCAATATGATTGATCCTTTGTACTATCTACTAATTTCAGTTTTAAGATTTTTAAGAGACCAAAACTGTTAGTAGGGATACTTGTCTACAATTTTGATATTTTTTGGCCAATTAAAAAGTTTTATTATGTAGATATATATTAAGTCTTCCTTAATTTCAAACGATATACATTTATGCACAAAATATGCATATAAAGATATCTTTTATCTGAAAGTTGATTTGATGTGCGGCACTTTAATACTAACTCCAATTATAGTTTAACAACATTTTATTGTAACTATATGGACATTAATGACCAATTTCGTCATTTTTACAATTTGTATAAGTTTTGACTTTCTGTAAAAATTTGACATGTGTTTGCTAAATTATCCATTAATGAAATGTTTTATACAAACATGTATGTAATGAAAATAAACTAAATACAACTTTATTGATTATTGCAATTTATACAATTCCTTTACATTACCAAGCTCGCCTGTTGTTTGTCATAACATTTGATGTAGTGATTGATTTCAGTAAAAACATATATACATGTCAATTATATCACAACAGACAAAAATTCTACTTGAACATTAATGAATCCGTATTTATGCAGTCCTTTTTGTTAATTGTAAGTGTGTACTGGGCTAAAATTCAAATTCTGTTGATGATAAAGATAAAGAGGATTTGAAAATTTGTATAAATGACATTTGGCTATAATAACAAACAATACAATATTACACTGCTCTTGTTCCATTTTTTTAATAACATGTATATATTAAAGATATAAAAAACACAATTTTTCAGTCAAGTTTAATTTTTTTCATATGAAGATAAGATGATAAAACATTTCTTTTATACCACTGTGTATATAATGTAATCATAAGTAATAAAAAGTAATCATGATTACTTTTTTATAAAGTAAACTAATGTAATCGATTACATTAAATAAGTAAAATAATTGAAATTTAATCAATTTCTTTTTAAAAAAAGCAACCCTATCCCTGACCATGATGATTATAAAATGACGAGTATTTCGTTTAGCTGTACATGTAGAGAGGTACTGTCTACCTCTTATAGCATTTTATAAAAAGAATGAAGTTGGACGTGACATTTAATGTAACTAAACTGATTAATTAAATCAATTTGTTACGTAAACGTTTGACAAGAAAAAGCTTTTTACCTTATTGTTAGAGATAATGTGGCAGCGAATAGTTAATCCTTAAAGTTCAGATTCTATTTAGCTTCTGTTAAAATTTGGCCAGGGAAGGTTGTTTTAGTAAAAGTTCTCTTCAGATGTGTTAAAAATGTTACTGTCTGATTATTGTACATGCTGTCGGTAATTCGCCTTAAAACTATTTTGCACAACTTTTTCGAATTTTTTATTTATAAACCTCTTCAACTCAGTATTTGATTTGGCCAACTGTTTTATTTTGAGCGCCACCGATGAGCCTTGTCAAGATGAAACGCTTCGATATAAGATCATTGATCAGAATTGTTTACTTTTAGCTGTATTTTCGACGTCTTAAATATCATTTAGTAGAGTGTTTTTTCTGAACTGGTTCTTATTGTACGTTCTCCCCTGTGCCTATTCAGCGAGACAAAAATATCTTTATCTCGAAGCGATATTCTCTTCAGTGATTGTCGTTAATTTTGTTTTAGTTTTTTTCATTAGAAAAAAATGTGTTGATCGCATATGTTTGGCATTTAACGCCGTTTTTCAACATATTGAGGTTATGGTCAATGAAAGCGTGAAATAAGGTATGGACAATTGTTAGTTACTGGAAATCTAATAATCATTATATATTTTACTTTTAGATATGTTTTTGTTTGTTCATTGCTGTATACCAAACATTTAATATCATTTCTACTTGTTTGCATCATTCTTGTCAGCGAAGGGGTTATTAAATTAGAGTTGGCAAAAGTGCATAGATGATATAGACACATTCTCAAAGTTGCAGGATTCAAATATTTTAGACATATCTGAGTCTACCGTTGTTTGTCACAACTTTCAATGTCCCTGACTGGTATATTTATCAATAGAAATAAAAAAAAGATGAATATTGGTGTTATACATTAGAGTTTTCAATCTAGACTGTGTTGTCTTTTTTGACGTTATCCGTAGAAATAATCAAATTGCAAACATCACCTAGAGAATTAAAAAAAGGACCAAATCCAATTAAAGATAGAAATTTTCTTAGAAAATTTTCTTCATTCTATATCTGAACAATACTCAGAACTTTAGCGTCAGTAACTCAATTATGGTGTAATTTTACATCTTTACGTATATGCATGTCGCATATTTTAATGTTAATTCACGTGAACTCGAAAGTTATAAATATGATAGATCTATAATTAACAGGTGAAATACGGCGTCTACAGACATTTACTTATTTATTATGGATTATTCGAAGGCAGAGTAGAGTTTGTATATAAGATGTATGGAAATCTCATTTTATTTACAGAAATAATATTATGAAAACAGACTTTTTACTTACATGCTACAAACATTAATCTCATTACGTCGAATTTCAGCGCCACTGTCATATTGTATTATATGTTGTACTTAACGTGAACCTGGAAATACAAACAATATACAGTGTCAATATGCGTAAAATTACATAATGATAGCTCACATGCATCGCTTCATGCGATAATGCTATAGATTCAGGTGTACTTGAATTGCAGATGATATTCTGAAGCAAGAACTCCGCGGTAGAATTAGCATTTTAGATGTTACAGAGCGACAATGGATTGCAATCGATATCGAGGTTAACCTCTTCGTTCATATCCCAAAACAAAATGACCGTTAAAAAATGAGAATTTGATAATAAAATAAAAGAACGATACCAAAGTGTAATAAAAACCCCAAAGTCAACAATGTACCGCTGAAATGTCGTTTGGCCATTGGTATGTGAAAGTCAGTAAGAAATCCCTTCCCTTGTGTCAAATATGAAATTGCGGCTGCCACAAATGGAACATATTTGTGATCATTTATGGCATAGATATTCCGTAGTTCTGTAGCTTTCTTGTAAGTATCAGCCCTTTATCTAGGACAACTTGGCAGGAGACACAAGCCATGGAATGTTGTATCAACTAATTGATATATTAATTACATGGGAATGGAAAGTTCATAATAGAAAAAGTGAGAGAAAAAACTTGTCGTTAAGTTAGTATAAACATTTAAAAATGATTCACGTCTTCTTTAACAGAATATATTAGGTTGCACAGATAAAAGTAAACACGTCAACAGAAAAGATACATTTAATACACTAGCATGCAAATGGTTTAACGACGGCATTAATAACTAGATTGCTGGGAGGTGTGGCATAAAGATTCGATACAGAGCTACGTTCATACTTTAATTTGATTACCAACAGACCTTCATTCAGACCATAAGAGAAATTGCGTAATCAATTCATTCTTATTTTCAATTTAGCTGATTACAAACATACGGAGAACAAATCAAACAATTATTTTCAATGGCTTTCAATTGTTTAGGTTAGAGCGTTCCTGATGAAGGGAAATCCAAAAAAAAAGCTTTGGACGCACGAAATTTATTATGTCTTATTTTCATTTTGTAACAAAATTTGCTAATTTAAGTAGAAAATAGGACTCAGTGGACATTCCTATGCAAGATGAGGGAATAGTTCCATACGTCCGTAATGTGTTGCGTTTAGTATTAATTGATCATAAGAAGGACTGGTTGTGAAAGGAAAAAAAAATGAATTGTAAACATGACATAATTGGATTTAGATTTCTGCTACTTTTTAAAGCTTTGGAATTGGTAAATACTTCTTTAGTAGAACAAATATAGCAACATAACGTGTCAAAAGTTTGCGATGAATCTCAGTTAAATCGGTTTTCGGTTCTAAAATTGTATTTTATGACTTGAAATAAAACATCTATGAGACTATTCGAAAGTCTTTTCTGTTGGTTCTTTCCATTGTTCATAAAATATATATCCATATAAGTCTTATTTTTCACTTTTAGAATTGTGGTTTATGGCTTGAAGTTAAACACCCATGAGAGTATTTAAAAGACATTTTAGTGTTATCTGGAACTCATGAACGATATTCAGATAATCTTGAAAATAAGAAAGTAGTACGCTGGATACATTTCATTTATTTTCATAAAGTGTTTAGAAAAAATGACTCGATATATTACTTTTGAAAATGTATTATATATATATATATATATATTGTAAACATCATATTAAGGTAAAACTCTGCAGTTTAATGCGAGAAACCAAAATTAGTCATACGAAAATTGTCATACTAGAAAGCAACTGACGGATTTGATTTGCACTTGGCAATAATCCGCTATTCGTTGGCGCTGAAAGATCAAAAAGTCATACACGGTGTAAATTTTGACACACATTGATAGCCGTCCACCCTAGATGAACCCACTTTTTTTTAGCTTATTTTCAAACGTACATATATAAATTAATTGCTATGGTTATGTTTGTTGCATTTTTACATGAATCCCCTAAGTTCAGATGTTTGAAGTAAAAATTAGCAGACAATTTTGAATTCATCGGTTAAAAAACCCCGGAAATTATGAATAAATCGGTATTTTACTCTCATTGATTATTTTTCCGCGATTAGGCACAACAGTATCCCTATTCCGATCCTCATTTAATTGTAGGAAAAAAAAGAGGATGAAAAACAACGATTATAGTGGTTTCAGTTTGTATAAGTATTATTTCTTTCTATTTCTTATGATTTTATCTAACGAACATTGCCGCCTACTAAATGCTCTTCTATTTACATAGTAATTATTTTTTCCTTAGAAAATACTTAAATTCCAATACAAGCAGCTGATATAAGAGATAAGACCAAGGAATCTCTGCAATTAGCACTATATTTTGTGTCAGCACTGTAGTTTTAAATGTGCAACCAGTGCGTCAAAATATATACCATTATTATGTTACTAATTTAATATCTATTAACTTGCTGCGAAAAAAAACGTCCAACAGCTATGTGCATCATCTCAGAAGTCAGAAGGCTTGTTAACCCTTGGTGCTACCAAAGTTGAATAAACAACACTTTCAAAACATTATTTCTGTGATCTTTTTAAAATGTACTTCTTACCAACAGTCTTAACAGAATCTTTTAATTACGACAGGTCTAAAACTGTAAACTTAATTAGAAACGTCTGATCAATTTGTTCAAAACAGTAATCATAGACTATTAGCGGGTAAAAATTAAAAACGTTGATGCTGCGTGTAATAGATTCTCAGTTGGATGTAAATAGAATGATTTATTGTTAACTGAGTCTACATAAAACATAATTTACTCGTCCTTTGATATACAGACTAAATAAATTTAATCAATTATCGATAAATTTCACTTACTACGAAGGAGATACTTTACTCTTTATACTTCTTCAATATTGTTAGTTTAAAGTGTGGAATAAATAACAAGAAATACATCAATTTGTCTTGTTTTAATTCAATACTACTTAAATTTTTAAATTCTCCCATTCCATTTCCAGTACCAGTTCTAATGTATGATAACAACAAGTCTTCTCCTTGGATTCATCTGTTGTTGACTGAAATTCCACAGTTCAAGAAAATGTCATTGATTAGGGAAATATATTCGTTGATATAACAGCTAATTCCAACTTTATATGAACCGATGATTTTATTACGTCCAGTGAATCTTTCAACCATGCTCAGGAAGAGAACAAGATTTGACCTTCACTTGGTGCAAGAAATCCACTACAATCGAGACGAGCTTGCTACCATGAACATACAATTGTCGGCGTGTTTACAAGACAATATGTCAAGCTGATTTTTAAATTTATTTATTGGCAAATGAAATGTAGCTTCTACATTTAATTCAGACATACCATATATATATGAAATAACTTTTAACTCATTTTTATATAATAACATAAATGTTACATACGGATTCGATCATTGATTGGGAAAAAAAACCAATCAATTTGTTGTGTTTTTAAGTAATGTTTTATATCCCCATCCATGACTGACCTTGTTCTACAATGTTACGACAGAGTAACTAAAAGAATAACGCAAAGTTTGCTTTTGTCATTATTCATACAAAATGGCAAAACGACAAAGTATTTAATTCTTATATAAAAGGCTGTTACTGTTACTATAATATATTGTTTTAAATAAATTACCGTTTTTTCGTTTTAAAATTAGCTTTGTTCACATATATTTGATACTAATTTAGTACACAATATAATTATTTCTGGATTAACCTTCCTTAGGTTCGATACTAATAATCGCAAACGTTCGGGAACAGGGAAATAAGTACCTCTCATCAGGGCCCAGCGTTATTTTCATTTGGATATAAGGATGCTAGTTATTAGGAATAGTATGAACATGAATAACTGAACATTGCTGATAATGTTGACAATCATTATTTGTCTTTTAACATTATATCATAGCAGATGTGTTTTTTTCTTGAGAAAAACAAAATAGACGATAAGTGCAGATGTCAAACAATTGTCACAGATTTATTAGGCTATACAATAAATTGGTATTAAAACGTTGATGTGGGTTTCTGTTTTTCAATAAAAGTAGCAAAACGCTGTTAATAAAGGACGGTCACGCCAAATTGTAAGCTGAATTTCAATGGTAAAGGACCAAAGCAGCATTGTTGTATCCTTGACATTAAGCATGTGTTCCATTGCCAAATTAATGCCAACCATTTAGAATAGACCAGTAGAATTGACAAATACAATTATTGACACTGTAAAACTATATGTCTGATAGGATTCAATTGAGTTGTGTGCTATAACATCATTAGTATACTCTTAATTAGGGAGGTACATTGGAAATTATGCATATACAGTGTAGTTATAAATGTCCCTCGAAATGTATTGGAGAGACAATTATTGCATCATGCTTTCCATATTTGTGTTTTCTTGATCATTTGAAGTCGGATGTTGGTTACAATAATTATTAGGTGTATCGCAATGTTTTTCTACAAAATGAAGAAAAAACCCGACATTTTCTATTATGATCAAGAGCCGCAATTGGGAATTGGGAACTAAATTAGCTCGTGCTTGTTTGTAATTCTAATGTAAAAGATACATTTAAAAGTTCACATTCACTAGTTTAAAAAGTAAATTTTATTGACGCCGGTAAAAAAAATGTTCTCAAGTCATCGACGCGTTAAATTATTATATGGTAATGATTCTGAGTAATTTTCATCAAATAGTGATTAGGGGTAGGGTGATTAACGGATACAAGTGTGTACTGATGTATGCAAAATATGTTACAGTCCATGTCACAGTAAACCCAGCGGATAAAAAACTAGGATGGAAGGACACACGAAAGAAGAGAATCTCAGATGAACGGACCTACACCCACGCTTAAAAAAGCGAGGATTATAATGTCATGAGTCCCCTATTAACTGCGGTATAGGTCAAAGTAAGTTGAGATGGCTACATTTTTTTTATATTTAGAAATATAAAGATTACACCGTCTGAAGAATCAGTGGGTATTGTTAGAAATGTCTCTCAAGTGGTGTTTCGTTTAACTTTGATCTTTATGAAGTTAAGTCATAAAATGTGATTCAATAACAGTAAAATATTCAATCTAC